ATTGGACATAGACAATCCAAGAATCTTCTAACCAATTTTGGTAAGAAAGAAATCAAAGAATGTGTCAAAGGAAGCAGGAACAGACTGCGAATACTAACAGGATTCCTAACAGGACACTGCAGATTAAATGGACACTTAAAGAAAATTGGAACAATCCAAGATGGCACATGTAGATTCTGCAAGGAGGCAGAAGAGACACCAACACACCTACTAACAAACTGCGGAGCTACACTAGCCCACAGGAGGAAATGTTTTGGGATAATGTGACCATAGAAGAGCTTCAACCACTGAAACCGGGCCTATTAATCAAGTTGCTTGATGAAATAGGACTCACCGATGTGCTTTAGGCAGAGAACAGGGGATACAATAGCTCTTAAAGGGCGCAGTATACCATACCCTGAAAAATTACATCTACATCTACAAATTAATAACAATAATAATAATATAACTATAATGCCAATGTTGTTATATTAAATGTGTAAGTGGAAAAAGTATTTATTATTTACTGTAACTACAAAAATATATAATGTAATATGTATTACTTAATTACAAATGAATAAACAGAACCTAAAAACTTAAAACAAAAAACTAATAAATTAATGTTTGGGTGATGACCTCTTAAGATCTCATCACCCAAACATAATTTGCTGCACGTTGATAAGCATTTAAAACAAATTTAATGTTGTTTATGCTCTATAAATAGGTTTTTAATGATTATTTTTCGTTCAAACTTTTACAAGTGATAATTAAGATTATCTAGAGATCGTGAGACGCTGTATAATTTAAGTTTTCATGTGGAAAAATTTATATATTTGTTTTAATTGGAAAATGTATTGTATTTTGGGCATCTGCCCGTTTAAATAAATAGGTACTTACAAAGTCCTGGTCAGAATTGATGCACAATTTATTACTTTGTTTTTTAAAAGCTTGCTTTACATAAACGGTCAAATTGTTGTCATTTGTAATAATTAGTATATTATCGTTAGTCGATAATAAAACCTTTCAAATGAAATGTTTTGTCATTTTATTAATAAAGTATTTAAACATTGGATGATTTTGATGTAATACGTTCGATTTATTGACGTTATGAGTCGATGTGAGTGAAAAGATCGATGGTTGTTCCATCGGGGCCACGGTCCCTGGTACTTGGTAGCAGGGCCAGCAGCTGATTGCTTCCTCGGTCATCTTCCAGGTTTTTTTCTTTTCGTTCAGCATCCTAGAATAAACGAGGATGGGCGCTGACTCGAATCCCAAGGACAGTCCCTTTATGAGATTCTGTTTCGGAGTCGTCAGCATGGTCGAGGGGCCGGTCGTCTGGTTCAGAAGTGAGTTTTTTTTTCATAAATTCGCCCTCATTTTTCACCACCTTCCAAATTGTGTTTCTTTTGCACAGAGAACATCGTCGAACCCAACCGGAAGGAGTACAACTGGTACCACGAAAAGCTAAGGAGGGTACCGACCATAGACCAGTGCTACGACGACGACCCTTTATGTAAATTTGAAGCCAACCAACAATTCAAGCGAGACAAGTAATTTTCAAAAATGCCTTTTAAGCCGGTTCCACACGAGGGGCAGAAGCGAGCCGATGAGGCTGATTTGGGTTTGTGACTGACATCTGCTCGCACAGATTGTGCATGATGTACTGCGATGAGAGGCTTCTTCAGGTTGCTTCTGCCGCCAAAGTGGAACTGCTTTAATACATTGGACAATTTAAACGCACCACTCGATTTACTTAGTCTAAAATTAAATCTAATATTTACAGATAATTAGGAGCTATCATAGTCAAAGTAAACAGTAAATAATGCTTTGTTTACTTTTGTTCTGCTTAATCCCGTTTTCCCCCAAAAGCATTCTGTTAAGCCTAAAGATCGCTTTCAGTTAATTTTTTCCTTCGTTGATTTCATTTGATAATATTCCTATTTTTAAACCTTATTCAATAACTCCGGTTAGTCATTTGAATGAGTATGACAGTGTCAGGACATAACATTATTAGAGGAAGGTTAAAGCCAGCGCAAAGTCACCAAAAGACTGAGTGTAAATCACTCTTCGTAGGAAGGGTACTTCAGTGCTGCAAGAAACAAAGTGTCACGCTAGCAGGCCTGGACAAGGTCGACCTACGTCTACAGGACTGAGAGGTCATAGATTCATTAGATTAGGCTTTATGAAAACGCAGCATTGAGAAATGAGATAAGAACTCTGGTCAGACAAGTCGAGATGACTCTCGACACGACACGCAAGAATGGCACAATTACACAGAAGACAAACCTTTGAGCCCAGAAGATAATCTCAATAAAAATCGAACCGTTGGCACGATAAAGAAAATGTTTTTCTGAAACCTACATCACACCAGACAGCATCTCACGATTTCTAAATAAATATCGATTAACAGTCACTAATCTCCACACAAGTCTGAAATGTTTCGATTTCCTCCAGGACTGTAAGAAGAAGACTCAAGATGGCTCGTGGACCACAGAATATTCAGGCTTCAATTAGTGCAGAAACATGTGAATTGGACATTGAAAGTTTGGGGACGAGTTCCATGGTGGGTCATTGATGTTTTGGGGTGGCATTTCATTGGACAGCCGCACCGAATTGGTCGGTGTTCGAGGAAGATCTCAACTTAATAGAAGTGCTTACAAGACATTCGAAGAGCATGTCATTTGCCCCCCCCCCCACATTTGTGAGAGATTCTTGCTGTTGTAGGATAATGCCTGGCTTCCAGAGCACATATTGCTAATAACTGCCTGAATGAGGTTGGAATCAAGTGTGGCCAGTTCGAAGTCCAGATTTGAATCCAAACTTAAATTTTTTGAATTCAACACATTTGGGATCAACTAATGATGAATATGACGGTGAAACACAGGTCCTAACACCCCTAGAGGAGTTGAAAACAGCTGTTCTTGATGAATGGGAAAGAATTCCTCAGGATTTTATCCGAAGTTTTTTTCCAAGTAATGCAAAGGCTTATAATGGATGTGATTAGTGCCAGAGGTGGAATACTCAGTATTAAAGGGGTGAAAAAAGTTTTTTTTTTTTTTTTTTTTTTTTCATTCATTTTTTATGTATTTATTTATTTTTTTAAGAATTAGGCAATAAACATTTTCTTTTTAAATGTCTTATTTTGACAATCAAACGTACTTTTTGGTATGCTAAATATGAATGAACCTAAATACATTATAATTTAAGGGTGGTGTGTTAATTTTGTCCATCAGCGTACTGTTTCAATTTATTCTCGTAGAATCACAAATTGAGACAATCCACGATACTACCGGTGCACAGATAAAAACATATTAACAAATTTCAACAGACTGTACTCCATAAAATGCTGAAATTTTTCTTAAATTTATTCGTCATCTATGACTCAAAAGCCACCCAGTGTTTTAAGGAACCGAATATTTACGGCATGGAATTTTTTAAGACATTCTACGAATACACCCACCTTGCGTTTTGGCAGTCCGTCATCTGTCCTTGGCCTTATTCGACCGACCACCAAATTTAATGATAGGTGATTTCAACCCCCAATGCATCAGTTTTAAAATTTAAACACACTCGCACTCACTCTAAAGATGCCTGCTTGGACAAGGGCTAAATGTTAAAAATGCTGAATAAACAGTAGTGTATCTTAATATAACAATATTTACCACAAAAAAAAGTAAACGGTCAAGTCTCATTTAATGGGTATATAGACATTTTTCTATAAATGTACATTATGTATGTTTTGTTTTTGTTTTAGAAGGGTATTTCAACCAAGAGGTTGTATGAACCCTCAGGGTAGGTATTTTTGAAAAAAGCCCATTTGTAAGTATGTCGGGTTCGAATGCAGGGCCGCTGGATTCGATCCCAGGACCTTTACCTTACAGTATTGAGTACCGTGTCAACGCCTAAACCATTGCAGCCACCGATGCCCCCATCCTATATTTTTTAAAAGATGGTTAATTTGCAATTCTGTTGTGTTCAGATCCTGCTGAAACAGTTTTACAAGTATTATTTGCCATACATGTACCAATAATTGGTCAGTTCCCAAGTACAAAGTTGAAATCAAGCCCAGGAGCACTTTGCGTCAAAAATAATAATCAGATACCCTGATGATGTTGGCCATCAAGGTCCCTAGTTGTTTATTTGTAAAGCATCCTTGATAGAAAGAAATTTGAATAAACACTTATTGACACAACTCAAATTTTAACATATTTCATGTATTTACAAGAGCTTTCAGCTCTAAATAATTTCTTTGATTAGCATTTTGCTAATATGTTTTATTAACACTCATATTTAATTTTAGGGCTGTTGACAATGAAATTGTAAGTATATTGCGACAGCGTCTTGAGGACTGTCAATTATATGAGGAGTCCGATTGTGCTGAGAAATGCAAACCCCTCAGAGAGCAGTATAACGAAGCTGTCACCAACTGGTTTATCAAATGTAAGTTCAACTTCGATTGTTGAGCTTAATTCAGGTAGCGCTATATAATTTTTTTGTTAATCAAAATTGATGTTTTAAGTTTAGTTATGTCATACAGTTTTTTTGATTATTTGATTTTAACAATATCAAATATGTATGAATTATTGTTTTAATGTATTTGCTAAATTTTTAGATGGTGATCTTGGTGCATACGGGGATGCCGAGTGTGCCCTGATGAAGCAAAAGCATCGTCTTATTTGGGAAAGACGCCATGGACCCGTCGGTTCTGGAATGAAAGAAGAATAAACTTGGAACATTTTAACCCTTTCATAGTAATAAATTGTAAATACTTATGGAAATATATGTAGAAATTGTTATTGTTAGTTGTATTTGCATTACTTAACAATTTTGGTATTGAACAAATAAAATATAAAGCAGAAAATTTAACGAGATTCAAAGATGAGGCTTATTTTGTAAACCACAGATATAACATGACAACCAACTGAACCATATAGCTAGGATGGCCCTTCTATTACGAGTCAGATACTAAGGCCACTTATCGACGTTGCTCTTGATATATGAAAAGTTCTCTGCCAATCCAGTTTATCGACCCTGCCACTTTCTTGTATTACATTTTTAGTATCAAGTGTTTAAGCCTGGATGTTGGGAAGCTCTGAACTCGTCCACCTTTTCATTACTCTCTAGACTGGGTACCCAGACAACAACCCCCATTTTGTCGAGAAGCACCAGTTCATGGAATCTCTCCAAAAGCTCTCATTGCTAGCACCCTTTTCCTTCACTTTACATTTATTTTCTTATCTTTCTCGCATTTTAATCCTAGTAATATATTTTTCTGTTTCAGCTCAGTTGCAATATTTTATGGTACAACAGTAACCAACTCTCTTTTTATTTGTACTATTGGTAGCCTCACAGAACCTCAGGGCTCTTCAATTGTAAAAAAATAACAATTACAAGATAACATGGTAGTCTGGTTGACCTCACACTACTCCAGAGTACTTTGAGTAAGTGGGGATATACCTATCCATTCATGCTAATATATTACATCCACACACCAGACTTCATTCAACTACCCCCAGAGTACTCGATATTCCTTGGAGTAATTGGGAATATGGCTCGCCATTTATGCTAATAATGATGTTCACACATTCAATCACCCTACCCGAGAATGCTCAATATTCTTTGGAGTAATTGGGAATAAACCCTTCCATTCACGCTAATAAATTACATCTATTCATTCAACCACCCAACCTATGAGTACTAATATTCCCTGGAGTAATTGGGTATAAACCATTCAATTCACGCTAATAAATTACATCTATTAATTCAATCACCGAACCTATGAGTACTAATATTCCTCGGGGTAATTGGTTATAAACCCTTCCATTCACGCTAATAAATTACATCTACACAATCAATCAACCAATACCGAGTACTAACATTCCTCAGGGGAATGAGTACATTCCATTCACGCTAATAAATTACATCCACAAATATACATACACAACTACTAGTGCTATATTCCTAGGGGTAGTTGGGAATAAAAACTTCCTTCCACGCTAATTAATTACATCTATTCATTCAATTACCCAACCTATGAGTACTAATATTCCTCGGGGTAATTGGGTATAAACCCTTCCATTCATGCTAATGAATTACATCTACACATTTAAAATCAGACAATCCCTGAGTACTAATATTCCTCGGGGGAATTGAGTACAAACCATTCCATTCACGCTAATAAATAACATCCACAAATATACATACACTACTGCTAGTACTATTCCTCAGGGTAGTTGGGAATAAAAACTTCCATTCACGCTAATAAATTACTGTAGTGGTCTTGCTTACTAATATATATTCCTGTACTGCATCAAACACTACAGTTGAGAGCAACCAATCAATACAAATCTCAAATATATTTATGGTTCAATGAAGTTTTGTTGTAACCAAACCACAATTTCTGCTTGAGTTTATTTTTAATGTAAAAAGTTCCTGCATTTTTAAAAATTGATTATTATCCTTGCCAAAAGTACTCTTAACAACATGGCAGCAACGGTAAAATGAGCGACGATTTAACAAAACATATAAATATATTTAGTTTAATATTTCTTATTTTTGCACAAAAGTAAATTTTAATTGTACTCTTATGGATGTGACGAAAAGCGTTTGGGATCATGTTTTTGTAAATGTTTTATCCGCAGAACCTGAAATTGCTTTTAAACAGAGGAGGAAGGGCGATTACCGACCTTGGCTGGTGTCCCCAGCTTTTTTTTTATTTTTTATTATCTGATGGACGGGAACCGTGTAAAAGTTCAACACATGATTATATTTCCTTTCCCCCCTTCTCTTAAAAAGAGAAAAAAGAACTAATCGGGGGATTTCCGAATCGTTGGCGGAATTCTTCCGAGTTCCGACGCACTGCTTGTCGAGTTGTTGACTCGGGCTGTTGAGTTCTTTTTGTTTTTGTTGTTTAGTTTTCTCACATTCGCCACTTGAATGCCTCCATTCTTCATGACTTCGTCGCCAGGATGAGAAGAACTATTTTGGACTTAATATACTTAACATCGTTCCTTTGTAAGTTCGTTCTTCCTCCTTTGTACTTCGCAGGAGTCTTACACGGACGTCGGTCGCCTCCGTTAACAATTTTAATTAGTTCAGCCTTTCAGTGAACCCGTATTAATTTTCTACTTTTCGTATTAAAAGAATCTTTAGTTTAAATATAAATAAAATAGCCCATCGGGAAATCCTCTCTCTTTTATTTATAGACCGACGGACAAATAAACAATAATCTATTCAACAAATTAAAATAACTCCATTTAAGACATGAATTCCTTTCTTTTCCTAAATTTAAAATCCATTTTTGAACTTCAAACTACCATGCTAAAATATTCAAATAAATTTACAAGCCAAAATGTCAAATCAATTAAAAACAAAGTTAATTTAACCAAATAAATTATTTGCTTCAAAAAATTTTACCAAACAAATAATTGTAAACTGTCTAAATAAAACATTTACCCTCTGTATGTTATCATTGAATTCTCAGTTCATCACAAAGCATAAATACATAAATAATAATAAGTTGGACCTCGAGGAACATCAAGTACTCTGGGGTAGCGCGAATGAATGTGTGATGAAATTTATTAGCGTGAATGACATAGTTTATCCCCAATTACTGCAAGGAATATTAAGCGCTCTGGATTAGTGTGAACGATGTCTGGTGTGTGGATGTAATTTATTAGCGTGAATTGAAGGGTTTATTTCCAATTACCCCATAGAATATTAGTACTCATAGGTTGGGTGATTGAATGTGTAGATGTAATTTATTAGCATGAATGAAAGGGTTTATACCCAATTACTCCAAAGAATATTAGTACTCATAGGTTGGGTGATTGAATGAATAGATGTAATTTATTAACGTGGAAGGACGTTTTTATTCCCAATTATCCTGAGGAATATTAGTACTTGGGGATTGTCTGATTAAATGTGTAGATGTAATTTATTAGTGTGAATAGTATGGTTTATACACCCCCAAGGAGTTCTCGGGGAGGGTGATTGAATGAATAGATGTAATTTATTAGCGTGAATGGAAGGGTTTATTCCCAATTACCCCAAAGAATATTAGTACTCATAGGTTGGGTGATGGAATGTGTAGATGTAATTTATTAGCGTGAATTTAATGGTTTATACACAATTACCCCAAGGCGTTCTCAGGTAGGGTGATTGAATGAATAGATGTAATTTATTAGCGTGAATAGAAGGGTTTATTCCCAATTAATCCAAAGAATATTGAGCATTCTCAGGTAGGGTGATTGAATGTGTGAACGTAATTATTAGCATGAATGGCGAGGCATATCCCCAATTACTCAAAGTACTTTGGAGTAGTGTGAGGTCAACCAGACTATCATGTATCTTATCTTTATCTTGTAATTATGTTATTTTGTACCTTTGGGGTAAGATGATTGAATGTGTGGATTTAATTTATTAGCATGAATAGAAGGGTTTATTCCCAATTACGCCTTGAATATTAGTACTCAGAGATTGGATGATTGAATTTGGGGTTGTAATTTATTAGCATGATGAAGGGTTTATTCCCACCCCGAGGAATATTAGTAATCAGAGGTAAAGAATGTGTGAATGTAATTTATTAGCTTGAATGGAAAGGTTTATTCCTAATTAGCCCAAGGAATATTGAATACTCTGGGTGTGTGAACGAAGTCTGGTGTGCAGATGTAATTTATTAGCGTGAATGGAGAAGCTTATCATCAATTACCCCAAGGAATATTGAGTACTCTCCGGGGTAGGGTGATGGAAGGTGTGAATGTAATTTACTAGTGTGAATGGAAGGGTTTATTCCTAATTTCAACGAGGAATATTAAGTCCTCTGGGGGAAAGTGATTGAATGTATGCATGTAATTTATTAGTTTCAATTACTTAATCTTTTTATGTGGGGTTTTGGTTGAAATGAAAAAGTTAGTGTCACGAGCGGGATTCGAACCCACGACCTTTGGCTAAATACGCCGCTGCTCTAACCACTTGAGCTATCGTCACTTCGATCCACCCGGACACCAACTCCCCATCTCAACCTACAACCTTTCAAATTTTCCCTCCTTTTTGCCATTTTTCAAATCTCGTTCATGACATTTTCATGATGTCATTTTCAAGATTTTATCAATCAGACCACTAAATATAATGGATGTAATTTATTAGTATTAGGAAGGATTTATTCCCAATTTCTCGAGGAATATTAAGTGCTCTGAGGTAGGGTGATTGAATGTGTGAATATAATTTATTAGCGTGAATAGTAGCTTACATCCAAGACCACGAGGAATATCTTGTACTCTGGGGTCGCATGAATGTAATTTATTAGCGTGAAGGAATATCGAGTACTCTGGATTAGTCTGAACGAAGCCAGGTGTGGGGATGTAATTTATTAGCATGAATGGAATTGATATCCCCAATTATCCCGACGAATATTGAATACTTAAGGGTTGTTTGAATGCTAACCAGACTCTTATGTTTTTACCTTGTCTCTGTGTAGGTTATTTATGTTGTTTTATCCACAATTGACGAGTTCTTGAGGTACAGAGAGGCGAGCAATAGCATAATGAAAAAGAGAGGGTTGGTTATTGTTGTACTATACAATATCGTAACTTAGCTGGAGCATCAGAAAAATAAATTAGTAAGATTAAAATGCATGAGAGATAATAAAAGAAATGTATAGCTAAGGACGAGAAGGCTGGGGATGGCCAATGTAGTTTGCTGTCCCTAAACTATAAAAAAAAAATTAATTAAAATAGTAGTATTTTTAATAATGAACGAGTGTCTTGGCAAAACAGTGGCATGGTATCTGAATAGGTTGACTTGGCAGCCCAACCTATGCACTTAATCACTGCAGTCTGGCCCTTTGATGCAAAAATGCGATAAAAAAACATGATTAAAAGAAAGTGGCTGTTCGGTGGGCCGGATCAGCAGAGAGGCTCTTATTGCACTACGAGCCCTGTTAATAGGTGGCCCTAGTACCTGACTATGAAAGAAGGGTCATCCTCACCCGATTAAGGTGGTTGGTGGTTTGGGGCAAGTAATGCAGAGAAAGGTTGCTCAATGTAAACAACAGGGTTGATAACAAACAGGATTGTTTTATTATATACAGTGAATGTATTCATGGGTGTGAATATATAATGTGTGGTGTGAGAGTGTCGCTGACGGAATATCGAGTACCCCATCGGTCCTCATTTAGGTTAGTTATATAATAGGTGTAAAGGTTGTGTTGAGAGGAATGGTATTTATTAGCGTGAATGTGTGTTGTGACAGTGTCAATGGTGGAATATCGAATACCCCATCGGCCCTCAATTAGGTTAGTTGTATAATATTTGTATAGGGTGATGGAGGAATATCGAGTACCCCATCGGCCCTCAAATAGGTTAGTTATATAATAGGTGTAAAGGTTGTGTTGAGAGGAATTGTATTTATTAGCATGAATGTGTGATGTGAGAGTGTCGATGGTGGAATATCGTATACCCCATCGGCCCTCAAATAGGTTAGTTGTATAATACGTGTAAAGGTTGAGTTGAGAGTATTTATTAGCGTGAATGTGTGATGTGAGAGTATTTTGGCAGATTATCGAGTACCCATCGACCCTCAACCCTGTAAATAGGAGTGAATATATTTAAGAATGAACATGAGTACGAATGGGTTTGGAACTGCATGCATTGGGTACTAAATTGACCTAGCTATTGATAGTTCCTTGAGCTCAACCTCGTCGGCTGGACGGATAAAACCGAGGTCTGACCCCTGACTTCCAACACCCGGGGTGATTCTCGAGGCCTGTTGGTAATTAGTTGTAAATTACAAAAGCTGAAATTACTGGTAGACTGCGAGAAGTGGTAGTCTCAACTCTGTTTGTGTATATGGTATATACACGCATGTGTAGATTTGAACTTATACAAATCAGTAATCTTTTGTGACACAATATAAATGCGTTTTATTTTCTACTTGTTTACTGTAGTAGCATGAAGATCTAAAATAATAAATTGATATATATATATTTTTTAGTTAATAATTAATGACCCCTTATCATTGAAGATTAATGGTTGAATGCCGAGTAGATAAATAGTTCAAGGAAGATTTTTTTATCAGTATTAGCCAAGTATTATATCCAATAATTTATAAATATATCATAAACTTAAACTTTAAAATGTTATTATTTTTCAAAAAGATTTCTTGAAATAAAGTTTCTTATTTCCTCCTTTTCTGTGTTAATTGTGTTATACTTTTTTGGGGGGGGTATAATAAAACGACAACGGTTAAGGGTTAAGGTAAACATGCTAAAATACGGCCTTAAAAAGCAGTGTGTACTTTCTAAAACAAAGTTATACAATTTTACAAATCTTTAAGTTATACTATATTTTATAGGGAAAAATTGTTTTTCTGCACATACATGTATATTACAAATTTAGATTTTTACCTACTGTGCAAAAGTCTGGAGAAATTCCTCTGCACCGTTGTCAGACTTGTTGTTGTTTTTGTTTTGAAAATTTCAATTCTCCATGACTTCATAGCCAAGATGAGCAGAAATAATTTAAAAAAACATGTATTTATTAGTATATTTTTCCATAATAACTATAATTTCCGTAATAGTTGTTTTAAAACATAAATAGAAAATTAATATCTTGTTGTTTTCCTTTATAGAATGTTACTAATCCTTTTACACTCTTTACATTAAAAATTTAAAAAAGTTAGTCCTTTTCAGAGCCAACTTGTCGAGTAAGTTAATTGTTTTGTTAAACATGAAACAATAAGTTTTCAATATTAAATGTTTTTTCTTAAAAGCATTGGTCTTAAGTCGAGAAGATGCTTTGGTCAATAGACATAGCGTTCATTAGTCCCAAAGTCATGGGATGATCCACGATGGTCTACAGAGATTTGAAGTCACTGAAAGTCTCTATTGAGGAGAAGGTACTGGTTGGCCGTGATGTACTAAGGACTTTCTTGAATGCTAGTCAACTCAAAAGGGTCCATGATGTAAGGGTGAACTTAAAAAAGTCATCGGAAGGCTTTCTAGATGTCCTGCATCAGGTTCTCTACCACAGGAGAGCCATCGAGTAGAAAGGTGGCTAGTCATAAATCCGCATCTCTCTTGGGAAATTGAACAATGGTGGCCGTTCTTTTCACTGATAACTGCCGGTTCGGTTTGTGGTAATCAGATGACCTGGTCTGTTTGTCAAGAAGAAGTACACTGAGGAAGTTCTACCGTCCTTTTAGCTCCATTTATTGACGACAACTTTGTGTCAATGCATCATAATCCTCGAACACATATTCTCGTTGTCACCATTTCAAGAAGGACATACATATTACGACAATGAATTGGCCAGCACGTTTTCCCGACATATAGGATACTTATGAGACATGATAAAGAGGCAGGCTTGATGTCATTCAGCACCTCCAACAACCATTGAACAGCTTCAGACTATTGTTGAAGAATGGGATTCTGTTTGACAAGGTTTTAAAATTGGTAAAGGTTACCAATATCACCCAAAAACTATTTTTTTACATTTTAATAATAACAGTATAGTTTGTATTAGTTATTTATTTACTACAAAAAGATATACATTATTTAACCAATTTAAACAAAACAAATTCTTTATATTTATGTAATTTTTTTCTTGAAAACGCAAAGATGTCTGCCATGATCTAGCTTGATCGATCGATGGTGGATTTTTTTATTTATTGTACTTTTCAATATAGCTTTGAATGTTTCTTCTTCACAGGAGGGTTGAACGTTGGTCGAATTGTTTGATAATTTATTTTAAAACAATTCATGCTTCCTTTATTTTATTTTATTTTGACTTTTGACAATAATTCTGTTATTTTTGGGAAACAAGCAATATTTAAAAAAGAAAATTCAACACGTATGCACTTTTTTCAAAACTTAAAATTCTCTCCAATTTACAAATTAGAATATTCGCCAGGATAAGCCAATTTTCTAGTTACCTTGTTTTCTATTTTGATTTGTTTCAATTATAAAAGTTTTATTATTATTATTAATTTTTAAGGGTGTTTTTATTGACATTTTTGTTTCAATTTAATATTTACACTATTTTCATGTTCCATCTGAAAAAGATTTTAAGGTAAATTAAAATTGTCTATTTCGTACATGTTTCATGGTTTGAGAGTTGTCGAGCAGTCGATTGATTTCTATTTGTGGTTTGACTTCTATTATCACAGTATATTTTTGGACAGACTCGACCATGATGACAATCTCAACGGTTTGCTGATCAGACAGCTAAATTTGCAAACAGACAGAATTATATTATCTCAGTCAAAATTGTTCTACAATTAAAATCCTTATCCAACTTGTCTTTTAATTCAATTTAAACATTTCAGGTTTATCCAATTGTGCATCCAACAGTATTTTTAATAGAGAAAAAAGGCAATCATGGCAGTGCCGGTAAGATTTGGTAATTTGCACAGTTTATGCGAGAAAAAAGATGTATTTAAAACTTGTATGTAGTTATAAATTAACGATTCATGATATTCCTCAAGCTCAGACCAGTTCAAATGTAACAACGGCCAGTGCATTAGGCAATTTGAAGTATGCGACGGTAAGAAAAATTGTGGAGACGGATCTGATGAAACTCAGGCAATCTGTACAAAACTCGGCATCATGTATGTTTTTTCGTTTCTTTCGTTATTTTAATTTGTTTTTAAAAATGTAGGTAGATTTATTTCAGATGTCCTACATTCGCATTCCGATGCACTTACGGTGCGTGCGTGAATTCGAACGTCAAATGCGATGGGAAACAAGATTGTGCAGACAACTCTGACGAACTTTTGCCAGAATGTCTCCAGTACCAACCGATTCGTCCTACCAAATGCTCGTCAGTATTATCGCTTTCTGTTGATACAAAAAAAGAGTTGTGTCAAACCCAAAATTCACTTGTACAAATTAAAAATTGTATTTCCAGGAATCGACAATTCGAGTGTATTTCTGGTCAGTGCATTAGTGAGTATTCAGTCTGTGATGGAAATAGAGATTGCGAGGACAGCTCTGATGAAACCATCACACAGTGCGTCAACATAAGGTAGAAAAAAATTTTTATATTGCTTATTTAATTTCTCTAATTGTTCTAATAGAGAAAAAAATCATGTTAATGCATTAATGGTTTATAAATAAATAAGCAGTAATAAAATGTAAAGTTTATCTTGTTTCATTTTAAAGTTAGCATATTAAAAGCTGTTTTAGAAAATATGGCTGCTAGATAAAAAATAATTGTTCTTAATTAAAGGTGTCCTCAGTTCAGTTTTCAATGTGCTTATGGAGCTTGTATAAACAAAAATAAAACGTGTGATAATACATACGACTGCAGTGACGGTTCGGATGAGGATGATGAGCTTTGCAAAGCCAAGAGACCTCGGCCCACTCGAACAAAACCCCCATCTCATCATTTCCCAACTACCAGGTATATTGTCCTTGCCTTTTTTTCTAATGACAATACGATAAAATGACGCTTTGTTGTTGCAGTGGTGGATGCTTGCTTCCTGAGAAGCCTGACGATGGGAGATATATTGTACAAGGTTGCTCGAAAGACGACGTTACTCCAAAGTGCAGAGAAGTGCCCGGAACTTTAGTTCCCGAAACTGCAGTCCTGACGTACTCTTGCAACAAAGGTTTCGTTCTGCCTGATAACGTCAAAAATATTTTCTGCCTCAGCGGGAGCTGGGAACCAGAACCACCCAACTGTGACAGTACGCCGAAAAATTCTGTTTTCAATTAAAAATTCATTTGTTGTATGTTTGAAAATCATTTTTTAACCACTTTGTCTTTCATTTTACAGAGTTGTGTAAACCGCTTGTTTCTGAATCGATGATTCTAAGGTGTTTTTTCAAAGGCGACGAAGTCCCTTGTTCACAGGAGAACAGGCCGGGTACCAAAGTCCGGCCAAAGTGTAAACCCTCTTACCACCTCCGCAACCCCGAGTTGTCTTTCGCTGAAACACAGTGCCTACCAGATGGTACTTGGGAGAAGATATTGTTCAAGTGTGACGCAGGTAATCCATCATCACATGAAGATAGTATTAACGATGTTTATGTTGTAAATTTCCATCAAATTATATTACTCCAATTGCCCTTCTTAAATGACAAGCAACAGAGCTATTTCAAGTACAAAATGAAAAAGCAACATGAAAAGAATGCCGATTTGAAAATGAAGTAAGATTGTAGCTTTAAATTTTAAAATTAATTTAATTTGTTGAAGTTTCAATTGAAAAAATACTGTAATCTTAAATTTGTATGTTATTAAACAAAAAATAAAATAAAGTAAAAATTTGTTATTTTTTTGTTACATTTTAATTAATAAAATGGAATTATTAATTCTTTGGTGTTATTCCCTGTATCCAAATCATTCCTTTGTTTGCCATTATCCAGCCCTGTCACTGAACTGGACACCACTTACCACAATCAATTATTAAAATTATAAATTGTAAAGATATTTATTTAAATTTTTTTACATAAACAGACAAAAGTCAGGTTGTAATGACCAATCATCCGAACATTATAATTTTATTATACTAATTAATAATGTCAAAAAGTACAAAGTAAAGCAATATTAATGTTTAATTTATTAACTAAAAACAATTGAACCCATTTTAGACAACCACAAGAGCTATAATTTTATAGCATTTTATTTATTTTTTGTTAACTTGATTTGTTAGCTGGGACATACCATGGTGTATGTTCATAACATTAATTTGGTAAAACTTTTTTTTAAATTGACAGTTGATGCTAAACTCATTGTGCTCATATTTTTTCAAAAGTATCAAAGTAAATGTTTAAATAATAAAAATAAAACAATTTTAAAAAAATATGTACGTAACACATTTTATTGTAAAAAATAGACCCTTTTAATGAAAAATTTCAGTAGACGACTAAAGTAATAAATTTTATATTTGTAGTCCTTAAAACAAATAAAAAAATATTTACTTTCATTAATTCTACTACTACTACTACAGAGTTTGTTCAATTCTAATCTCATTTGTTGTAAACGCAGATTGTGGAAAGCCGAGCCATCAAGTTAGCCAAACGTTGATAAGCTATGGTCAAGAGACCAAAGTAGGTGATTATCCCTGGCATGCCGGACTTTACAGAATCGAAAATAAAGTGTACACGTTATTTTGTGGAGGGACGATCATCTCTCCTCTTGCAGTGCTCACCGGTAAGGTTTATTTATTTTTATTTTTATTCGACTCAATTGTGAATACTTTATTACAATTTTTCAGCGGCTCACTGCATTTACGATGAACAGCTCAAACGTGTAAAAAATCCAAAATCAATTTACATCACTGTTGGCAAGTACCGACGAAACTGGTCATTAAAGGATGCCTACGAGCAGAAAATTCCAGTAATATTGAAAATTAATTAACGAACTTTATATCCTTTGCTTAAATTGCGCTTTATTAGGTGAAAGACATCATACCTCAGAGAGCTTATCGGGGCAAATCGAACAGCTACGAGCAGGATATTGCGGTGATTGAACTGATGTTCAGCATTAAAATAAGTAGTGTTATCTTGCCTGTCTGCATTGACTGGGTAGGAGAACGCCCATTTGGTAATGGTGCACTAGGAACGGTGAGGTTTTTTTTTTTTTTTTTTTTTTTTAATTTATTGTATTTTATTTTTCTGAAGCTAATTGTTTGTTAAATCTTTATGCAGGTTGTTGGATGGGGGCTCGATGAGTCAAGAGTAGGGACAGAAGTACTCATGGCAGCAAAGTTGCCTTTTTACGACTGGGAAACCTGTACAAAAAAATCACCTCCAGAATTTCTTAGATATCTCACTTATGATAAATTTTGTGCTGGGTACAATAACGGCAAGTTTCAAATATTAAAAAAAAAATTAATTTTAACGAATATCACTCAATTTATCCTAAATAAATTTTATTCAGGGACCAGTGTACAGCAAGGGGACAGTGGTGGTGGTTTGACCTTCGTTAGAAACGGAAATCATTTTATTTATGGCATAGTCAGCTTGAAACAGAAAAACCAAAACACCTTCGCTGCCTTTACAAATGTAACAGAACATCTCACCTGGCTCAACAATGTGCTCAAAGCTGTGAATGCCGTTCATGTAAACTGATCAGTGTTGAATATTTTTAATTTATTTACGCCATTATTTGTAGATAACAAATCTTCCCTACATTAATAAATTATTAATGATATGAAAACACTGTTCATTATAGAAATAAAATATACATATAGAAAATAGCCTTAAATTATCTATTCAAAACTTAAAGCATACCAATAATAAATTGTCAAATGATCCATTAAATTTACACTGAACATATATCAACAAATAAGCACCATTGTACATATGTACATATAATATTAGAGATTATTTATTTTACATGTATGAATGATTTATTTAAATAATCTATCTTATTTATATATATAGCTGCCTGAACAATACAATGTCATTATGTGATAAAAATGAGTAGTCTGCTCAATATAATGAAAAAGTAAGTTTAAAACACTTTTCTAAAATGCATCCTATAAGATTTAAAATTTGAACGTGTTAATTCACACTAGGATTTATTACAAAGTTTCTGTTTAAAGTGTTAGACATATCGATTACTTTTTTACTCACAAATAATCTAGATCTCCGTATGGTCTATGAAAAAATAAATTCAATTGCTACTGCCAAACTTCCGACCTATTTTAAGGTCATCATCAGGGCATAACAATCTTAAAGATGTTTACAAAATACTAAGTGAAATAATTAAGTTTTTAAAAACAAATTTCAAATTTCTTTGAAGGCTGGCTCAACAATTTTGCCCAGGTCTAGATTGAATTTGTTTTTTCATCCAGGCCGTTGATACTGAAATACAAAATCAATGCTAATATTCTCTTAGGTAACGCAAATTTTCCAAATTATTTTTATGTTTATCAGGATTAAAAATAGACCAGCATGATTTATTAAATCTAATCTGAGTGATTAAGTTTCGCCGAGAATGTTATGTAAAACTAAGACAATATTCAGGTATATGGCTAATTCCAAAAGGTTAAAACAAAATCAATGTTTATTCAAACTGTTGGTTGCTACATTTTATACATGGAAATGATAGCTTTTTGAAAGAAAGATTCTTGAATTCCAATAGGTTTTTTATATATCAAATTAATTAATATTTATTTATTTGTCACCCATATAAAATCCATAAAATAGCATACTCTTGCTTATAAACTCATATAAAATGTCACAATTTATTTAAAAAAGTGACACGACAAGAATGTTTGTATTAAAATTGATTAAAATGAATTTAGCCTTATGCAATAAAAAAAGAATTTTTTTAAATTTTTACTGTTTGACTTTTATATACTTTGATAATTTATATTTTTAACATTTTAACAAATTTAATTATTATTATTTTATTTATTTATTTTTTTGGATTTAAAAAAAAATCAGTGATATCACTCATGTCCATAGCATTTGGGTCTTTTTTAAAACCTTCCACTCTTTATAACCTTTCGTTTGTTACTGTTATCTTATCACTTATCAGTGATTATGTTAAGTTTCAGTAAACTTGTTTTTATGCGATTTGTCTTTTCGTTGACAACAACATCAATGTAGTTTTTTTATGTAGTTGCCAGATTGATTAAGGGACGGTATAAAAGGAACAGAAATTTTCAGTGTCATGAAAATTAATTTGAACATTCTCTTGAATTTGTTTGGAACTTTGAGCCAAGGCGTTTCCGTTTAGACTATGGCTACAAACTATTGTAATGCAGTAGCAGGTCAGAGCCGGACTAAAATCAAAGATGAGAAGAGAAATTCCTGGCCTGAACTCGGCTCTGAAGGCAGCTTCGCCTCTAGCCGGTCCGGTACGACCGCCTCAAATCGACCGGCTCCAGCCCGTGAAAACCTCCAGTTCCCGCAGCTGGGCGAAAAGCCGGCTGAAGCAGCGGAAAGTAAGTGCGGTACCACAGTGGAAGAGCCCAAGAAGGAAACAGCAAGAACTCACGTTTCTAACAAACCGCAACAACAGAACAAGTTTGCAGAAAGAAAGTTGAAAATGCGACTGTGCCGAAAGTCAAATTTAAAGAAGCAAAAGATCAATGTTGATATCATGCAAGCAATACAGGTGAGCTAAAACTTAACGTAGTAACTAGAATTTATTTTCAACGTGAATATATTCTAGTGAACAATTACCTTAGGGTCTCTTGCTGATCCATAATGACAGTGGAAACAATGCTTGGTGCAATTGACCATTCACTATATTTTTTGTCCAAGATGTGTATTTTCAAAGCCCTAAGGTTTTGCTCCAATTTTGTCATTAATACCGTATAATTTTAAATTTAACACAGACATTCAACTGATAATAAAACTTTATTTGTAGTTTGGTCATTAACGATACTGGTTTGTTCATTCTCGCATTCTAGGTCTGACAGACATCTTTTGGCATTGCACCACAATAAACAGACCTGAATGACCAGAAATGATCAAACTACTAGTTCATAGCCTCACAATCGACAAATCTCATAAAATTTTATTTTCGATTATTTTAGGCATCTCTCTGCCTGGAAATGCTCAAGAAAAACAAAGAGTTTAAAAAGAAGCCTGTAAAGAATGCCCGAAGGGGAAATATGTTGGATTCCGATCAACCGACCTTGCGCAAGGGGAAGGTCCGCCAGGGAAAAAGGAAGCTGTCCCTCATGAAAAAAACTTTTCTAATGTCACGGAAAATTCATCTGGAAAAAATACCTTACACGTCTGACATGATGCGTTTGAAGAATGAACTGTCTCAAATGAAATCAAACGGCAGATGTGATTTGGACGTCGATAAGGTTGCTGATAGGTTTGAAAAAATTAAAATCGCCGAGCCTGAAAAACAGACAGTAGAAAAAATAGACATATCAAAAATTACTTCTGCTATTGTTCATTCGAAAAAATTTCGTGGGTAAGTATTTTATTAGGAATGGAAAAAAAAAAAAAAAGACATTCATTTATGTTCTAGGTACTGTAATAATTTTGTTACAGCAGAATTGAAAAAAGCTGTGAGTGAATTAATTATCAGTTTAAGAAAGTTTCATGATAAGCTGTATATGCGGGACGAGATAAAAGCACATGCCAAAAGGCGATACGTCTGTGGATTCAAAGAGACCAAAAAATTCCTGCTCTGCAATAAAATAAAGGTCTTAATTGTTGCCACAAATCTTGAGATTGTTGAAGGTTGCCATTTAAAAAAATATATATTATTACGTTTATTAGTAATTTTTTAGCGTTCGAATTTCAGGGCTGCCTACTTTCCAAATTCTTGATGAAATAATTAACACCGCCTCCTCTAAAGATGTTCCTATAATTTACGGTGCCACCGCTGAAGAAATCGGTTATTGGACGCTTAAAAAAAGACGGATTAGCGCTTTAGGTGTTCTAGATTATGACGGTGCCAATGCAAGTTTTATTATGTTTTGAAACGAATACAAAATATCATATTTTCGTATCTGCTTATAGTCAAAATTTCAATTTCAGGAGATTTACAGGCGCCTTTTGGAAAACTGGGAAAAAGCCAAAGGCGATTACTCATCCATCGTAAATGCGATCAAACAATACTTGACTTCAAACTACACTAACAATTCTGATAAGGCAAATATTTTCTCTTATGTTTTTATACTTGTAATAATTGTTTTGTGATATTTATAGTTGGATGTCAATTGCATTGAGAAAGAAATTCGGGAAAATGTAATTTCCAAATTATTGGCTCAAACTGTAAGCGTGGCAAACGCTGAACAAGAGGCAGAAGATAAGATTTAAATATTTCAATTTCATTTTAATTGGAATCTAAAAGCCTTAACCTATTTTATATGGATAATAGATAAAATGTAAAAAATATATTTATTTTTTTAAACACATGGATTTTGTTTTTTTAATTTAGAATTTCAATGAGTGCTAATGTTATCCTATTTCGATTAATTAAGGTTTTTAGTTGAGATAAAAAAGTCAATGGCACGAGCAGGATTCGAACCCACGATCTTCGGCTTGATACGTCGCTGCTCTACCACTTGAGCTATCGTGACCTCGATCCACTCAGACACCAACTTCCCATCTCAACCCCACCTTTTGAATTTTCCCTCCTTAGTTATCCTATTTATTTATTTTATTTTATTTCTATTTTTATTTTATTTTATTTAATTTTTTTTTTTTTTTTTGACTGGGGCTTCTGACATCTAGAACATTTCAGCCCCCAACTAAGTCTATATTCTATTTACCCTTTCAAACACTACATTCATACATACAAATACATCCATACAGTACACTCATTCCGTTTGGTCAGTGGAGTACTTGTTATTCCTCCACCGACCTATACTCAAACTAATCTAGATTGGGGTCGATGGAGTACTTTTGTAAATATTCCGTCATCGACCCCGAACACACACTCATACGCTCTCAATGTTCGAGGGGCGATGGTGACGTTATATTTCACCCTTGCCATTCACGCTAATAAATACATGCACTCAGACAAAACATATAGACTCACAACACATAAGGCTTATTATATACAACAAAAAAACCGAATTTCCCCTAAAAAGCAGAACAGGGGACCCAGAAACCCGCTGCTGTGCTCGAGTACCATTTTCAGATTGGATGGCATGCCTACACTCTCCCTGTAGGGAGCCAAGGCATGACATGTTTCCAGTATGTGGGACACATCGAGCAACCTTTCTCTGCATAAAGGGCACCTGCGCGGGCTTTGGCCCAAAAGCAGGTGCCCGTGTGTCAACCGCGTATGGCCAATCCTCAGTCGGGTGAGGACGATCCCTCGTCTCCTGCTCAGGTTCTCTGAAGGCCATCTACCAGTCGTGCTCTTGACTCGCGACAGCCTCCTATTTATTTTATGTGTAGCTACATAATCCAGAGGCTTTTCAATTATTATTATTTATTTCATTGTGTGTAATTATCATTACTACATATTATTATCATTATCGCACCAATTATTGTGACCTTCCTTATTGCACTATATTTTTAATGTTATACCGGGTAGATTGAGAAAGTTAAAGATAAAGAAGGAGGAAAAGATAAATGTTTGCTAAGTGTTTAGTTTCGTAGATTTTTTTATTTTAATATTTCATCGCATCCAAGTATAATAAGAAAGTTGTGTTTTAAAATATTATTATTTGATTTTTTGAAGCATAAACTGCGATTGTTATGCTACAGTAGTAAATATTAGAAAAATAGACAATTGTTGGTAAAATCAAAGCCCACAGCTTATTCAAGTTCAACCAGATCAAAGTTCCTCATACATATGTTATTGGACAGATTGTATTCTTGACTTATTTATTACCAAACCAAAATATGGTACACATCATCGAATAAAAATTTCTTTATTTATTAGAATAAACAAACACAATTTCCTTTTTACATTACGCAGGTTAAATCATACATAATTCAGTTAGATAATTATGTTTAACAAATCACAAATTGTGATATTAAAAAATTAAATTAAACACCGGTCTAAGGAGATACCTAAGATTAATTTATGTATCCCTAACTGAATGGTATGCAAGTAGGAAAGAAAGTATTTAAGAATAGTGAGAGTGCAAGTGGGTTTGGATCGAGAAACTGATTGCATTGGGAGCTGCAATGACCTAGCTGTTGATAGCCGTTGAAGCCCAACCTTGTTGGCTGGTCGGAGAAGAACAAGGTCAGTCCCCGGACTGCCAACACCTGGGTGGGTGATTCTCAAGGCCTGCCGGAAATTTATTGTAATCTATTTGTGGAAACTTCTGAATAAGGATATTAATTATTTTCTGGAGGCGGTTGATACCTGGATAAAGGATGAGGAACATGTGGAATGGAAGGAAGTATTTAATTATGGAATACGAAATTAAAATGAGCAAGTAATAAAAGTCAATCGACTCTTTTGTTTATTAACTTTTAAATACAAAATAAAAATAAAAACAAAGGGATAGTTTAACTAATCTGAATACGTAGTTTGTTCATTTCTAATCATTTTGGTCTGGCTATTATTGTTTTAGACTTGTCAGAGGCATTTCAGTTTCTCGCCAACTTCAGTGAATTGTATTTGAGAAAAGGATGACCAGATCCAATAATAACCAAATGATGTGCCGACCTCATGCAGATTTTACCATAATCTGAGCATATTTAAATGTCTACTTGTAATGTATACCCTCATTAAAGTCTCCTGTCAGGCAGCCATTAGCATAGTTGATACAGCAAGAAAAACTTTTTTCTTTTATCCATTATGAGCAATTGGCAAATAACTAGTGTAATCAATGCTAAGGGCATTCAGAAATGATTTTTATTTATAAATAAAATATAAAATCCTAAGATAGTCGAGACGTTCTGTCACGTCGATCGTACCTCACTCTGCCGAGTATGTCGGGCAACCGTCATTAGCATTCTTTTGGTGCAGATGGCGCCTGCAGACGGTCTCACCAACGTCTGAAGTCGGCGCCCGACCCGAGAACAGGTAGACAATCGGTGACCTTCTTTTGACTTGACCGCCGCCACTACACAGTACAGTCGTTATACTCATTTTCACCAGAAGGGTTACCGCGGTATGCTGCCCTCGCGTCTCACCAGCACGGGTTTTCCCAGAGGCCGTTTTCTGTTTCCCGTCAACCACTGAATTCCGAGGATCTGCTGAATATTTTCCGGCCGATTTTCCCCTACAAGTTACAGGTTGGTGTCATTTTAACCCTTTTGTTTTTTCCTCTGCACGATGTTTTCCTCTTTAACATTGTTTCTTCTACAAGTGAATATATATTTTTTTTCACTGTATACTCGCTGTCTCGCCCTTTTTTATATTTTCAACCGGAATCTTGGTGAAAACATCATCGGATTTGGCCGAGCCAGAGAAAATAAATAAGTGTGTTTGTGTGTCAACTAAAAGGATTTGGAAAAAATTCTTAATTGCTTTGACTCAGATTATTTTCTTCTAATTCTCCTAGTCGATCTCGATAAACAATCAAGGGACGACTAATCTGCTAAAATGTTTCAAGAGAGGAGTCTAAAAATTTAGCAACCTTTCAGGCCAAAAATTTTTCATTCTTTCCCAACATTCTGATGAATTCTTATTAATTTTTTTCTTCGATAATTAAAAAAGAAAGGAAATATTGAGGCCAATAAAAGAATTAAATACACAAGACCTGCTCTTAACAATAATTTCACTTTACGAAAATTCCATTTTTGCGCGAATTATCGTGAAATTGTCTTTTGTCTCGCCGATAACCCTTAAATTACGTGAATTTTAGCGTATTCATGTCCAAAATTGTTCTTATCAAAAGTGCAGTGTCCCAGGACGCCAAGAAAAACAAAAGATAATTGAGCGAACACAGGACGAAAATTGCTTACCATTTTTCCTTCCAAAGTGGGTCGATTTCAAAAAGATCTTTCTACTCAAAAATAAATACATAACATTAAAGAACATTAAAGTACAACAAATAAAATAAAATCACTACTGATCAGATACAAAATATATATAAAACTAAGAAGTTGTCTTGGTATACTAATCTGGGTTATCAACTGGTCATTAAAAAAAAAAACATATAAATTTTCTTCCTAATTAATTTCCTGCCCTATGGAAATTTCTCGGTCATAAAATTGATTCTTAATACAAAAACTTGTACACCTTCTAACATCATACTGTTCTATCGGTTTACAAACCATTTCTTGCAGAATTCTGGAGAAATTCATAAACGCTTTCTATCTTTTATCGGAATACACAATAACAAACAATCAGTTTCGTTCCCGATAAATCTAGGAAAGTGTCATCAGGCTGTAGATGTCATATCTACCTCTCTTGAGCTTTAAGCTATTGAATTAGCGCAGGATTAAGTAAAGAGCCCGAATGGTGTCACTAATTTTTTATTACAAACACACTTAACATAAAAATTATAAATCAGTTTAAATAATTACTTTGGTTAGCTAGGGGACCAACTAAAACATGTAGATTTAGGTAAAGTTTGACAGGAAGGGTTGTTATTTAAAGTCATGTTAATCCTACCCTCCCGTTACAACCTTATTCAGCAATTATACCTGTTCATTTTTCAGGGTTGTCTGGGCCGTGTACTTTATTCTATTTTTCAAGTACCCGGATCCTATTCTTCATAATATACATAAGTTGCTAATACAGCGGTCCTTTCTCATAGTTTCAAACCTGTCCGCAGAAATCTTCAAAATAATATTTTTGCTTAAGAAATGTAAAGCAAAAGCCTATGAGTTTAAAAGCAATGTCACTTTTACTCTCTGACCTTTTGGTACTTTTCATGGACAAGGCTTGGAACCCACACACTATAGACTTAAAAGACGTTCCCAACTGTGTACTACAATACATGACAGGCGATCAAAAGAATGCCTAAACAATAAACGAACTATGTGGATTATGGACTTGAACTGGATAGAAACTGGAAGGAACCAAACGCTCAAACACACAAAGATTCAAACTTAACAATCCAAAATCCTTCAGAAAATAATCGATCCCTATTTCTCTATATCAAACATCACCATTCATACAGATTTCAGCATTCCATCTGTTCATGACCTTCGGCCAGGAACCGATAGCATAAATTCAGCTCCACCTACGATAATTCTCTTTTGTGCATCTGGCTTCCTCCACACTTTCTAACATTCATTCTAGACATAGGGAAGAGGTCACGCGATTTTTTAATCTATGTAGCCTTTAATATTGGAGTACTATTGGATGATACCTATCCAATTTAATCATAGTGGTTGATTTTCGAAATTGAAATTGATTAATACTTGTGGTTATCTTAAAAAGGCTCATAAATTGACAGCCGTCCGCAAGGATAGGCCGAGTAAATAAACAATGGAAATGGAGAGAGGAGATACGGGCAGATGCCATATCAGGCATGCCAATCGATACCACTACTCCAAAATACAATTTTACTAAAAAGTACAAGGTACTGATTCCAGAACGTGAAAAATGGGCCAAAAGACCACCGCTAAAGACAAACTCCTTCTTTGCCGGCTCCAAAACCGACAAGGATACGGGGGCTGGAGTTTTCGGGACGAATCCAAACACTGAATTGTCGGTAAACCTAGATAAATATGTTGTTTTGAACAGTTTTCCAATCTGAAATCATAGAGATTGAACACTGCGCCAGGTACATAAAAAGGCTAGGAATACCCTGGAAGACATCTCCGCTGACAGTCAGACAGCACTAAAGGCCCTAGCCTTAGGCGAGGTGAAGGGAAAGAGTGTTTGGTTCTGCATGGAGGCCCTGATGTCAGCGACACTGATGACCATGGGTTTCTGAGCATTCGGGTCCTAGAAGCAATGGAAAGGTTGACATGTTGGCCAAAGAAGGAGCCAACATGGACTCTCTAGGTCCTGAACCCTACCGTGGCTTAGCATGTTGCCACAAAAGAGGATACATCTTAACATGGATCCTTAATGGGTTCAGGAACCAGGATTCTGGTGGGACTCCTGACAGGGCACTGCCACTTAAGAAAGCACATGCACTGGAGAGGAGTACAGATAGAAGAAACACTGTGCAGATACTGCTAGGAAGAGAAGGAGACCAAAGAACTCGTTTTATGTTTCTGTGTACGTCTATGTAGGCGCAGGTTCTTGCAACTGACAACCCAAAGGACCAAAGGACAGGAAAAACCCAAGCATCATCCCACACTAAGGAGCGGCTGTCAAGGCTATGGGGGTTGATTAACAACTGAAGCTGGCCAGTGAGTTATAAAAAATAGGGGAGCACAATAGATCTACTTAGGTCGAGGAGCAGACTTATGACCGCCTCTTTTATCCCTATCCCTATCTTAAAAGAACAAACATATTTACATAATTTTTTTCATGCTAGACAAAATAATTGGTTTTTAAGGAGAATGGAACCAATTCTAACTGTTTAAGTTGTCCAGAAACATTTTGGTGAGGTCTGCGAGATGATGGAATCTGCAACTTGCTTGGTTTACATTTGAAATGCCATACGCCAGATTTATTTCTTCGCGAAAGCAAAAATTTAATTTACAACAAGATATACACCTGCAAGAGGTAATATTATGCATCGTTTTTTAACTGTAAAGATTTGAATCAAATTTGTTTGGCATCATTGTCCAAATAAACGTTTTTACTATTGTAAAAAATAGAAAAGGTTTTGCTGTTTTTTTATGTCCGATTGTTGTTTTGGATATGTTTTATATGCTACGTTATATGTTATTATGCTATATTTAATGGGGAAAAAACAACATACAACGATACTGGAGGAGAAGCAGATGACTTCGATTGATTTTGATTGATCGATTTTGAAATGACAATGTGATAATGTCTAAGTAATTTCTGTATTTATCTATATTTGATAAAAAATAGATTAAAAAAATGTTCAGTTACAACCACTTCGTGTAAATGATTGTTCTAATTACCGATTTAAACAAATAAAAAAGTAGAACTACCATTTACAAAAAGATAATCTACATACTCACCCAACCTTCATAATTTCTATGCTTACTTATACCGTTAATGTTTCATTTTTTTGTGGAATTCTCGCTCCAAGAAAATTTTATGACATTTTCTTCTATGTGAGTAGAACAACCATTTACAAAAAGTGAAACTACATACTCATCCAACCTTCATCATTTCTTTGCTTACTTATACCGTTAATGCTTCATTTTTTTGTGGAATTCTCGCTTCAAGAACAATTTTATGACATTTTCTTCTAATCTGTGAGTAGACACACCATTTACAAAAAGTGAAACTACATATTCATCCAACCTTCATCATTTCTATGCTTACTTATACCGTTAATTTTTAATTTTTTGTGGAATTCTCGCTTCAAGAACAATTTTATGACATTTTCTTCTAATCTGTGAGTAGACACACCATTTACAAAAAGTGAAACTACATACTCATCCAACCTTCATCATTTCTTTGCTTAGTTATAACGTTAATTTTTCATTTTTTTTTTTGTGGAAATCTCGCTTCAAGAACAATTTTATGACATTTTCTTCAATAGACCGGTCATTTGAACTAGTTCTGTCTTATTTAAGCTCGTTTTCCTTTTCTATTTCTGTGGTTAGTCCGTCAAATGCAATTACTATAATAAATCTATTGTTGCCATGTCATTTTGTCACACTATTCTGACATAAACAGCGATCATTGGCGGCTGAGATCAAAAATAATCAAACCTGACATAATTCATTCCAAATTTTATTGTTGTGAATGTTTTAAGCTCGGTTTGTTTTTTTATACTTTGCCTTTATCCGGAAGACTATTCGCGTTTTCCCGTAGGAAAATACCTTCACTGAATAATGCAAGTTATATAAACACAGTTAGATGGAAAGAATGTTTTTTTGGCATTTTGGTTTTAGACGATGATTTGCAGTTGTTTTTTTGTATTGTGGATCGTAACCAACGGCGTCCGTTAGGAATTGCGAGATCGTCGGGAAACTTTTATATTTTTTGCGAGCGTGAAGTCTTCTATGAAGTCTTTCTTGTTATCGCTTACAAATCATGGCCGGTCTGCATGTCATAGAACATTGTAAAAAAATCACAGACAGGAGTGGAATGATACGATGAAATAGAGATTTCAAAAGTTAGGTTCAAAAAATCAGCAAGCATCCAAAAAGCTTCTTTTTCTTGAAAATCAGTTTAGTCAAAAAAATTTAAAACGGTGATTGTTCAAGGTTGTTCAAGGCTAATGACAGTCGTTATCAAT